TTAAACAAGGGGACAACATTAGCAATTCTCCAGTCCTCCGGGACCTCACCCGTGCTCAAGGATGCTGCAAAGATATCTGTTAAGGCCCCAGCTATTTCCTCTCTCGCTGCCCTCAGTAACCTGGGATAGATCCCATCTGGACCTGGGGACTTGTCCACCCTAATGCCTTTTAGAATACCGAACACTCCGCTCCCCCGCCCTCCTTATGCTGACTTGACCTAGAGTAATCAAACATCTATCCCTAACCTCAACATCCATCATGTCCCTCTCTTCAGTGAATACCGACGCAAAGCACTCACTAAGAATCTCACTCATTTTCTCTGACTCCTTGCATAACTTCCCTCCTTTGTCCTTGAGTGGGCCAATCCTTTCTCTAGTTATCCTCTTGCTCCTTATGTATGAATAAAAGGCTTTGGGATTTTCCTTAACCCTGTTTGCTAAACATATTTCATGACCCCTTTTAGCCCTCTTAATTCCTCGTTTCAGATTGGTCCTACTTTCCCGATATTCTTCCAAAACTTCGTCTGTTTTCAGTCACCTAGACCTTTTATGTATGCTTCCTTTTTACTCTTTGCTAGTCTCACAATTTCACCTGTCATCCATGGTTCCCTAATCTTGCCCTTTCTATCCTTCATTTTCACAGGGACATGTCTGTCCTGTACTCTAATCAACCTCTCTTTAAAAGCCTCGCACATATCAAATGTGGATTTGCCCTCAAACAGCTGCTCTCAATCCACATTCCCCAGCTCCTGCTGAATTTTTGCTATAGTTGGCCTTCCCCCAGTTTAGCACTTTTCCTTTAGGACCACTCCCTTCTTTGTCCATGAGTATTCTAAAACTTACGGAATTGTGATCACTATTCCCAAAGTAATCCCCTACTGAAACTTCAACCACCTGGCCGGGCTCATTCCCCAACACCAGGTCCAGTATGGCCCCCTTCCCGAGTTGGACTATTTAGATACTGCTCTGTAAAACCCTCCTGGATGCTCCTTGCAAATTCTGCTCCATCTAAACCCCTAACACTAAGTGAATCCCAGTCAATGTTGGGAAAATTTAAAATCTCTCATCACCACCACCCTGTTGCTGCTACATCTTTCCATAATATGTCTACGTATTTGTACCTCTATCTCACACTCGCTGTTGGGAGGGCCTGTAGTACAGCCCCAACATTGTTACCACACCCTTCTGATTTCTGAGCTCTGCCCATATTGCCTCACTGCTCGAATCCTCCATAGTGCCCTCCTTCAGCACAGCTGTGATATCCTCTTTGACCAGTAATGCAACTCCTCCACTCTTTTTACCTCCCTCTCTATCCCACCTGAAGCATCTATATCCTGGGATATTTTGTACTGTAATTTCTTCCTCCTTGTTAATCTTTAAGTCATTGCTTTTATTCTCTCTTTCTGGTTTGCTCCTCACCTTTTGTGGAATGATGTACTATTTTTTCGAATTTGGTTTTATCTTTTACTACCTTAGTTAACCATGGATAGTTTTGTCATTTTACTACTTTTGTAATCTTTAGCCCAGTGCAGTTTTGGGTTTGTGCGCTTTGTCCCTTCCTGTCACGATCTGATCATCGTTTACCTTTTTGCAGCCTTTCTTTTTTCTGTTTGGTTCTCTGTTCAATTTATTACATCTTCCCAAACTTGACCTCTTCACCTCTCACTATATAATTTTAAAGCTCTCACTGGTACCTGAGTTTTATGACTCACCAGAATATTGGTTCCAGCGTAGTTCAGATAAATATTATCTGAATGGTAGAGTTCTCAGTTTCCCCAAGTACTAGTACCTTTCCTCCATGAATCAAAACTCATTGTTCCCACAACAGTCTTTGAGCCATACATTTGACAATCTAATCTTATTTACCTTACACTAATTTGTTTGTAGTTCTGGTAGTAATCGTAAGATTCTTGCCTTTGACGTTTTGCTTTTAAATTTAGCCCTTAGCCATCATGCTTCCTTATCAGAACCTCTTGCCTAGTTCCACCAATGTTGTTGGCACCTACGTGGATCGCAACCACTGGATACAGCATCCTCCCACTGCAAAGCAATCTCTAGCCCAAAGCAGATGCCCCAAACCCTGACGCCGGGCAAACAACTTAGCTGTAGAGAACTGTATTAATCCTTCTGGGTTTATATATTCTTCTAATATCACTTTCCTACTCACTTAATGGCTCGCTTAAATGACTTACCGGGCTGTGGTACCATTATCAGTTGTTTGTCTGCCCTGCAGCCAGCACTTTTTATCCATATAGGCTGCAACAACCTCAAACCTGATGGCCTGATGGGCAGTTTCATTGTCCAGGATATTACCATCTGCTATTTCTGAGCATTAATAATGTGAACTCAAAATTGTTGATAGCTTCACATATCTAGGTTCCACGACCCCCAAAAATCTGCCACTTGCTGAAATCAATACATGCATTGCAAAAGTTGCAAATGTTATTCCACTGCAGACCAGGAGAATGTGGAACAACAGCAGCCATACTAAGAACACTATTGTGTGTCAGTGCTCAAGTCATCAGTGATCATTGTGTGGACAATGGAGAAACAGATAGTGTGTTCACCTAACAGAAAACATATATTGTGAAGATAGGATGGATAGAATGAAAGTTAGGATGAACCATGATAGGATTCAGTGCTGGGCTGAGAAGTGGCAGATGGAGTTTAACCCTGAAAAGTGTGAGGTGATTCATTTTGGAAGGACAAACTTGAAAGCAGAACACAGGGTTAACAGGAAGATTCTTGGCAGTGTGGAGGAGCAGAGGGATCTTGGGGTTCATGTCCACATTGAACTGAAAGCTGCCACCCAGGTGGATAGAGTTGTTAAGAAGGCATATGGTGTGTTAGCTTTCATTTATAGAGGGATTGAGTTCAAGAGCCGTGAAGTTATGCTGCAGCTATACAAAACCCTGGTTCGGCCACGTTTTGTGTCCAGTTCTGGTCGCCTCATTACAGGAAAGATGTGGAAGCGTTGGAAAAGGTGCAGAGGAGATTTACCAGGATGTTGCCTGGAATGGAGGGAAGGCCTTACAAGGAAAGGTTGAGAGAACTACGGCTTTTCTCTTTAGAACGACGAAGGATGAGAGGTGACTTGATAGAGGTGTGCAAAATGATCAGAGGTGTAGATAGAGTGGCTAGCCAGAGATTCTGTCCTAGGGTAGAGGTAGCTATTACGAGGGGGCATAGTTTTAAAGTGAGTGGAGGTAGATACAGTGGAGACATTAGAGGTAGGTTCTTTACCCGGACAGTGGTAGGGGCATGGAATGCATTGCTGGAGAGTGTAATGGAGTCAGCCTTATTAGGGGCTTTTAAGCAGCTATTAGATAGGCATATGGATGATTGTATAAAGTATGGGTGGAGGTTAGATAGACCTTAGGTTTAGCGTAAAAGTTCGGCACAACATCGTGGGCCAAAGGGCCTGTACTGTGCTGTACTGTTCTATGTTCTAAGATGAACATTTAGTAACACACATTTTAAGAGCAGCCTGAATCAGTCAATTTGGAAGAAAAGTAAACTTAGCAATGAAAGGACCCCCCCCTAAAATTGTGCAAGCAGAAAAGTGGGGCTAGCCCCCAACCAGATTTGTAGTACCAAGCCAGATCTTCACTACAGGGGCTCAATTACGCTATGACTGGAATAAAATGAGAACCTATTACTACAAGTACAAAGCCACGATGAAGGATTCATCAGAAACTTTCAAGCTCACTTCTTCCTTGAATAAATTTGAGAGAAAGCCTGTCTTTTGTTTGCTTTTAAGAGTCTTAGCACTCAATGCTTATTCCCATTAAAACACATCCACCTGTGGACAGCTGAGAGGTGAAAAATGGAAGAACCATTCTATGATCTCTCTCCAACTAGTTATAGGATCTGCTTCAAAAACACAGGCTAAGTATTTTAATACGTTCTGCTCGAATGTACAGGGAATGTGGTGGGATTGGCATTGGGGGTGTGGGGCCGCAATGTTGGTTCAGGTTAGATAAGTTGGATACATAACTGAAGTGTATTGGAGAATCAATCCAATGGCAAATGTTCACTCCTTATACCAGCTGTGTTGTTCATGTAGGCCATGTCTCTTCACTTTACCTCTGTGTTTATGCAATGGTTCCAAGCAATACATACCCATAACCCTAATCGAGAGAGATGCTGGTGTTCCTTTATGGCTTGTGGCTCCTTACCAATGTGAATGTACAGAGCTAATCAGTTTATTATTTTGTGATGATTCTCGATTTGTTATGCTTTCTTTCCCGACTGACTAATAGTATTTTGTAAATGTCATGACTTCATTGAACATTTTTTGTCCCAAACGTTTGTAAATTTATTTTTTTAAATATGTCACCAGTATATAGGTACAGAAAAAAACAAGGTTGTGACGGAAAAATAAACAGAAGATTTTAGAAATGTTTCATTAGCTTGCACTGATTCTTCAGTGTTTTTTTTTGTTATTTTCTCTAAATAGCTAATACCACAATACCACTAACAATCTGTGTGAACTGAAATCAACCTGCTCTTGACTGGGGTTTCAGGTACTGTGAATTTGGTAATAATTATCACTGGTCTGATTTTATGCCTACAAATTACTGATCTTCAATGGGAAATTGAACAATTGCCAATTTTGGCAATTGTTCAATTTCCCATCTAATATGTGCAAGTACCTGTGCAGTAACTTGGCTGTAATGTGGATGAGACTGTCACAATCTTTCTATTCATTCATTCATTCATGAGTTTTTTTTTCCAAAAGGCATATCATTGGCTCATGGTCTGCTGATGCTTCATCTGAGCTGTTTTCTCTGCAGTTTCTAATTGTAGTGATTTGCCATCACTCTGCATTCAGAGGGGCAGGGTAAAGAGGTAGCTGCTAAGTTTGCTTTAATTGGAGCAGGAATTAAACCCACACTGTTGGTGTTACTGTGAACCACCTGCATCTATCTAATTGAACTAATCAACACTGTAGTCTTTTTTATACCTGATCCCAATTTTTTTTTTGTACTTTTTTATAGGGTATGGTAAATGAACTCACTTCAGGCCCTTGTCTTGCCCTTGAATTCCAAGGAAGTGACATTCAGAAAACGTTTAGAGAATGCTGTGGACCATCAGACCCTGTAAGTCAAAAGTAGATTGCTGAACTTTATCACACTATACCAAGTTTATAATATGCTTATTCATGTCGTATCGTTTAATGTCACATTTTTAGTCTCACTTTCTCGTTTTGTGCATTTTTGAAGTGCACATATCAATTGTCTGATCTAAGCAATCTTTCTATGAATATTCATCACTATATTGAAAAGCATTTGTTTTACAGCCATGATTAATGGCATGATCATATTCACTTTAAAAGTAAGACCTTGCGTTTAAATTGGTACTCTTCAATCAAATTTCAGTTCACTACAAACCCATCTGCCCTTATTTTCCTTTAGCAACTAAAGAGGTCAGATTTATAAAAGTACTATTCCAGTAAGAGTCAGGAGATTATAGAGTTACTTGCTGAATTGTGCCTGAATCACTCTGCACCAAGTCTGTTTTTAGATTTCTGCATGGCAAGACCCCCCCACCTGCCACTGATTGAATGTCAGCAGTGATGGGTGAAGGCCTAAATACATTTGGCAAAGGTCATGAGGTTGCCCAGGAGCCTTCCTGCTCTGTACTTAATTGGAGAAAAGTTGGGAAGGTGGTGCGGCTCCACTTACCATCCTCCAACCTGATTAAATGTTACCTTCATCTGTAAACTTGTTTTGGAGCATGGCATTAAATGTTGTCCATAATGTGGTGATTGGAGTTGTGCCACCTTGACATAGTGCAGAAAAAAAAAAGTTACACCCAGCTAAATATCGAGTGATTCATGTTGTCAGAGATGAAAGTGAGGTGTAACAATGGGAAATGGGGCTTTGTAGAACTTAATCGCTAGCTCTTAAACCTGTGACCCCCACTGAAAAGAAGGGTGGATGTCCTTCTTTTCCCTCATGTGTGGCCTGTACCCATACTATACCATTTTCAATGGCAAGAGATTGTTAATTACATTAATTCTTCCTTCTTCTATTCTGCCTGAAATATAAGGCCTACCATTTGAATACCCCAGTAAATTCCATTGTAATGGCTCCATAATACAATATGAGAAGTAAAAACTTTTCCTACCTGAAATCATTGATAGGCACATAATAGAATCCTTTGTTAATTGGACAGTTTTTTCTCCCAAAAATTTTATATTAATATTTGTGGACATTCAAAGTCTGTCAACAACTTCCTGATTTCCAAATTATGCAGGTAACATACTTCTATTTCATATGGTTTAACTTCTGTCTGGTACAGTTCTAGTGTAAATGGCAGAATTACTATAATTCTGTAGTAAACTCAGAAATAACTCGTTTATTAGAAGAAAACATATTCTTAAACATATGATAAATCTGGTTAGTAACTAAGTTACAATGTGGAATTAAACCACCTCCCTTAAACCCCAAATACTCATATTCACGTGACAGACAAGAAAATATAGCCCTGCAGAAATTGGCCATCTTGAACTTTAGTCGATGAGATTAAAATATTGACAGCCATAGAATTAATGAGGTCATCAAATCAGAATTTAGATGAGAGTCAGGAAGTAATCCTAATATTTGACCTAATCGGGTTTCAACAATATTTCAGCCAAGAAAAAGATATGCTGGTAGCTGGTTCTGCTTTAGTATTTTCTCCTTATTTTGTTCAGGAGAGACAGTCTGACTTTCTGAGGTCTTTTCTTCCACTAAAACTCATACTTGAAAAACAGCACACTCAATCCAGAGGCGGCTGTTAGGCAAATTTCAGGACAGAAGCTCTTTCAAACTAATTTGTCCAGATATTAAAGCCATAAAACTCATCTCTTGTCTCTCTGAAAGGCTTTGCTTGTCTTCTCTGCATAAAAGATCATTTGATTTTTTTTTAAAAACTGGATGAAGCACAACACATTTTAATTTTTTGACTTTTCAGTTTCAAGAAGTGCTCAATCCGGAAATTGTCCAAATCTCTCTCTCTCTTCCAGCTTCCTTCAGATTTGTCCTTAAAAATAACTATGTATTCCTAACCATGTGAGTAATACAAGTGCAATTTATTTCAATGCTAAATTTTGGTACCTCCGTGCCAGAACTACTTCTCATTTGCTTCAGAAACATCACAGAATTTCCTGTTACAGGGTTAGCAGCATTATGAACGTGATATTAACTTTCTTCACCAGCTGCCTATTTACACCATCCTGTCTCCATTGTGATGAGGTTGGAGGATCAATGGCAGAAATACCATGGACCTTACCATTTAAGTGCATGACATTCCTTCTGTATGTTTCACTAAGATGAGAAATGTGATCAATTTTTTGCCTAACATCCAGTCTGACCAAATTTCTGGGTCCCATTGCCTTCTATCCAAACTTTCAAGATATCTGTCTCCACATGTTTTAAAAAAAAGTAACAAAAGTAATCAACAATTTTGTGGCCATGATTGTGCAATTTAGCACGACATAATTCAAATCTTACCATCAAAATGTGATAACTGTATTGGAATTTGGGATCATTGATAAAACACAAGCTACATAATCTGCATACTAAAAATGTGGAATTAGCTTGTGTTTTAATGCTGCATTTAATTTAACTGATCTTTCCATAGTCAGCTTTTATCAGTTTTCTTAAAAGGATATGTTATAAGTAATTTATATCTTGGGTAAATGGTATGCAATCAATATTGTCTATATGTGCTGCCATCAAATAGGAATTATTTGAAAAAGGATAAATTGTTGTTTAGCAAGCTTAAAGAAATGGAAATCAAGGAAAGAAGTCAAAGAAAATAGTGGTTGCTATATATTCTTTCTTTCTTGTGACCCAGTGGCCTATTTGTCTGTGATATTTGATTCATCTTCCTCTGGTTAGGAAATCACATGTAGCTGTGACTCATGCTGCAATCTGCCAAGCACAGATGTAATGAGTTTCTTGAGTTGTGAAATGGACTACTTCTTTGTTGAGCAAAATCCAACCCTTTGTCTCATCTCACTTATTATTTGAGTGACGTAGCAATTTTGCCATGATGGTTAGTATAAAGCTTTACTTATTTGCTCCACTTCCCAAGGAAATAATGACCACTAAGCAAATACTGATAGGAAAATCAGGAAAATGGATCTCAATTCCTATTCCTTTTATCATTGTTTTCTATACCACCAGTTCTACTTATATTAACATATTTTGATGAGAAGTAATCCAAATATTATTGAGTACTTGCTTACAGTATAGTTCCACAGTACCTTAATGAAAATGTATGCATTATAGAGTGGGCAAGCAGTTATTTAAATTGAAACCTGCACTATTCATTGAAAACTTTTGATTTTGATATTTATTACCCACTATTCATAGTATGATGTTGTCATATAGCATGTTTGGCACATAATGTTTTGTTTTTGTTACTATTCATGTTTTAAATATTCAACTGCATTTGACCTGTGTACATGAAAATACTTGGAATGAATAAGAATGGCAAAAACGTTGATGCTTGTGTACTCTAAAGTATACTGTGTTAATACTGAGAACTATGGCTTAAGGTATGTGAAGAGAAAAAGACTGGCGAAGACAAATGTAGGTCCCTTGCAGCTAGAATCAGGTGAATTCATAATGGACAACAAAGAGATGGCAGGTCAGTTGAACAAATACTTTGGACCTGCCTTCACGAAGGAGATAACCTTCCAGAAATGCGAGGGAACAGAGTCCACCATGAAGGAGGAACTGAAGGCAATCCTCATTAGTCGGGAAATGGATGGGATTAAAACCCAATAAATCCACAGGGCCCTATGCTCTGCATCCCAGAGTACATAAGAAAGTGGCCCTAGAAATAGTGGATGCATTGGAGATCATTTTCCAGGATTCTGTAAACTCTGAAAGAGTTCCAATAGACTGGAGGGAAGCTAATGTAACTCCAGCCTATTAAAAAATGGAGGAAGAGAGAAAATGGGGAATTATGGATCAGTTAGCCTGACCTCGGTGGTGGGAAAAATGCAGGAGTCAATTATTAAGGGTGTAATAACTGAGCATTTGGACAGTGGTGACAGAATTGGTCCTACTCAGAATGGATTCACTAAAGGGAAGTCATGCTTGACAAATCTTCTGGAATTTTTTGAGGATGTGACCAGTAGAGTGGACAGGGTGAATCAGTAAATGTTGTGTATCTGGACTTTCAAAAGGCTTTTGACAAGGTTCCACACAAGAGAACAGTATAAGCAAAATTAAAGCTTATGGTATCAGAGGTAATGCATTGATGTGGCTAGAGAACAAACTGGTTGACAGACAGGAAGCAGAGTGTTGGAATAAACATGTCCTTTTCAGAGTGGCAGCAGTGACGAGTGGGGTACCGCAGAGTTCAGTACTGGGACCCCAGCTGTTCACAATATACGTTAACAATTTGGACAAAGGAGTTGAATGCAATATCTCCAAATTTGCAGATGACACTAAGCTGGGTGGCAGTGTGTACTGTGAGGAGGATGCTACGAGGCTGCAGGGTGACTTGAACAGACTGGCTGAGTGGGTGAATACTTGACAAATGCAATACAATGTGGATAAATATGAGGTTATCCACTTTGGTCACAAAAGCAGTAAGGCAGATTATTATCTGAATGGTGGCAGTTCAGGAAAAGGTGAGGTTCAACGAGACCTGGGTGTCATGGTGGAATAGTCGCTGAGGGTTAGCATGCAGATGTATGCAGACTAGATGCGGGAAGAATGTTCCCGATGTGAGGAAGTCCAGAACTAGGGGTCACAGCCTAAGTATAAGGAGTAAACCATTCAAGACTGAGATTAGGAAGAATTTCTTCACTCGGAATTGTGAACCTGTGGCATTCTCTCCCACAGGAAGCTTTTGGGGCCAGTTCGTTAGATAGATTCAGGAGGGAGCTAGATATGGCCCTTGCGGCTAAAGGATCCAGGGGTATAGAGAGAAAGCGGGAATGAGATACTGAGATTGCATGATCAGACTTGATCATATTGAATGGTGGGGGGATAGTAGGAACTGCAGATGCTGGAGAATCCGAG